AGAACTGGGAAGCCTGGGGCTCTTAGTGGAAGGCTGGCCTGCCATGGACCTAAGGCTCTTTGCGGCATTGGTGCTGAAGGGCAGCTGGGCTGCAGAGATGAGTGCAGACCCCACTGAAGCCCCGGGGACCTTGCCATGGCTTTGGCAGAGCATCTCTGCATGCGTTTCCATGGACCCTTTCTGGTAGGGATTCCAGAAGGCACATGGAACAGGACTCTGCATTTGTGGGTTCAGCCTGCACAGAGAAGGCAGCGACTTCCTAGGAGTGATCTTGAGGTTCAAACCAGGAATATCATAGAGCACTGTGAAGAAGTAAGCTCATAGAGGAGGCAGGGCTCCCAACTGAGGAGGCAAGGGGGAGCTGTGTGCCCTCCACCTATAGTGGCCATCAGGGAATGGGGACACCTGGCTGGACGGAGGCCACAAGGAGTCTATTCTTTCCAATCCTGCAGTTACTCCCTGGGTTCAGGTTGGCTGCCTGGAGCCCCAGTAGATAGAATGCCATACCTTGCAGGGCCAGGTGGGAGGGCAGACACAGCCGACCCCACCTGTGTATCAGGTGTTCCTACCCATGCTGGGCCATGCAGAGGTGCAATGAGGGCAGTAGCCATGTCCCACTGCCCAGACTCTGGTAGGTACCTGTGTCTCCCTCTCTCAGGTTGCCACTCTACAAAGCCTTTGAACCTGAACTGTCTCCCAGCTGTTTGCCAACATTTCACCCTGAACTTTAATTTGTAGCAAGCAGAGACAGGGAGAGGGAGTTGCTTTGTGACTCATGACGTCACATAGGCAGAGGAGCAACAGAACCACAAATAAGGGACTCCACTTGGCAAAAACCAGAGTGCTTCAAGGCTATTCTTGGAAACTGAAGCATCCCGTCTTGCTACTTCCCAGAAAGTACAGAAACCTTTCATATTTCTGGCTGTGTTGGTTTTATTTCTATTACATACCAAACTCCAAAAAGGCAACAGCTAGGCAGTGGCAAGCCACAGAGACTTCAGCCAGAGCTAGTCACCCAGAGCTAGTCACCCAGGACCCTCTGAACTGGACACATTTTAAACATTTTGGTGGCGACCAGGGAATGGTGTCTACCAAACACACCACTTCCCTGGACAAAGGCCTGAAGTTCAAACTCTATGACTGATTCCAAGAACAAAGTTGACCTTTCTAGTTCATGGTCAGCACAACCCTGAACCCTGCATCTTTTCAGCGTATTGCTCTGAAAACACTGGGACCCATTTTCTCTGTGGGAAACTTCAACTTGGAAGTGAAGAAGTGCTGTGTCCCCAACTACAGGACTGGGAAGTGGGTCTTTTAAATGGAAACAGCCTGGATCCTCTGGGTTTAAGGTGCTTATGGTTCCTGTCTCTGGGAGATCATGCAGTTATGAGTCACATTGCCTTGCTTCCCTTCCTCTTAGTGATGTTTGGTCCTTTTTGAAGTTCTCATGGAGCTGCCAGGGGCCTCATCCATCACCACCCTGATCTCGCTTATCCCCCACAGCTCAATAAAGGAAATTGGTCATGTCCCCATTTCCCAGATGAGAAAGCTGAGGCTTAGACAGATGAGATAAGGTGCCTAGCATCACAAGTGCCTGAGACCAGATTTACAGCCAGTTCTGTCCAACTCTGCATGTCCCAAGGGTCCCGTGTGAGGAGAGCTGCCCACTGTGGGTGTCGAACATCTCGTTTACCTCGGAGAGCTGATTTGTAAGGCTGAGAGGAGACCGTTTAGCTCTGGGGAGGCAGGTCTGAGCCTGGTACGGGCTGCTGGGGTGCACGTCCAAGGCTGTGCTTATCGTCTCCTGTCCAGCCATCTCCCCCCACCTCCCCTTATCTCCCTCTAGATAAGAGCCGGTTCCTACAGCTCCCACGCCCACCCAGGGCCCTCTGCACAGGCACCACCCTTGGCTCTTTCCCTGCTGGAGTCTAAGATTAAGTTGTTCATTTTTCTTTGGGTGGGGGAGGAGATGGCTGGGAAGAGACAGGTTCTTCCAGTTTGTAAATTATCGTCTGGCAGTCAGGTCTGGCTTAATACCTCTCACCAGAGCATGATTTTAAACTAAAATAAGGTGGCAACTTGGAGACTTGATTTGCTAAATTGTTTTTCCTTCCCAAATCAAAGCAGACCCTTCTTCTCTCCCTTCCCCTTCTCTTTTGACTCTGTACGGTGTGGTTGCCAAGTGCACTGAAGGCTCCCCAGGCCAGGTCTAGCCACCACTGGTATTTCTCTCTTGTCCTTTCATAGCCCTTACTACAAGGTGAAGGGGACCAGGTGGCTCTTAGGAAATAAGGCACAAAGGCCCAGCATTTGTGTGGCTTGCGTGATGCCATGTGTGTGTGGAGGGCCAGAAGTTCTACAGGTGGTTTTCTCTGCACTGCCCACCTCAGACTCTGAGCAGGGTCCAGGTGGCCTGTATTGGCAGACTAGCTGCCACCTCCTTTGCTCAAGGCTGGACATAGCAGTGGTCCTCAGGGCAGATAAAGCGTATGAGAATTCACAGGCGCTGGATGCCATTCTGGGTGGTAAGTGTTGTACGAGGCGGTGGGGGGGGGGTGAGCTGAGAAGGAGGAGGCAGTGTTTATGCAAGTGATGCCAAAGCAGGCGCCATGGACATCACAGGAGCCGAGCAAGGGGGCTGTGCAGGATCCATGTCCCGGCTGGTCCCGCCCTCCCAGTCCTTTGGACATGGACTGCAGTAGGCTGGTGGGGCCTTTTCTGAGCACTGGGATCTGGCTAAGGTGTGGCAGTCAGCTGGGCTTGGAACAAAGACTGATTGCTAGTCTCTCTTCACACAGTGTCTGATGCATGGGCAACTCTTGGGAAGGGCTGTCAGTGCTCCTTGCCAGTGAAATCTGCCTGGTATTACCCTCTCATGGTCCTTCTGCAAGCTCTGGGGTTTGGGTGGGCACCTCCCATTTCTGGCCCCTGCACTTGGTTCTCTTCCATGCGCACTTGACTTTTGTCTTGTGATCAATTCTGCACCCACCCGTCTTCCTCCAAACTGCCAAGCACAGCCCATTGCTGGCTCTCTCAAGGTGCCTACCACCCTAACATAATGCTGTATTCTGGCTAAGGCACCAGGAACTGTTGTTGAATGAGTAAGAGATGAGGGAGGAAGATAAACACCTGCTCTGCCTTTAGTCTTGGGTGCCAACCCCAGCCCACATGTGCCCTTGATAACTGCTGCTAAGGCTGGGAAGCTGCCCTGAGGGCCGCGTGCTGCCACTGCTTGCTGACCTGCTCTCCCAGGCCCTTCCCAGAGGTGTGGGGAGGCATTGGAACTCAAGGTGTGAGACCTCCCCCCCCTTCCCCTCCCCCCCCCCCCACTGCACAGCTAGGGCCAAGTCCCCAAACCCTGGTCCTCACCAGCTTTTGGTTCTTGAGAACAACAACAACAAAAAAAGAGGAATTGGCACTTTGGGAAATTGACCTTGTGTTATTTTTGTTCCTTTGCAACTTAAATGGTTTTCTCCTGAAGGAAAAAAATGCTTGAGGTTAGAATGGTACAGAGAGGGAAGGGGGCCACGGCCAAAACCCAGGCGAGCTATTTTTGTGATGTGAATGAACAACCAGTCCTTCTATCTGCTTGAGTACTTGTCCCAAACAGCTCACAGCCTGGCCTTGCAAAGCATAGGTGCCTGCTGTACTGGGCCAATGTCTCTCTCTCTCTCTGTGTGTCTCTCTCTCACTGAGAAAGTTTGTGCTTCCAGCAGGTACCAGATAGAGGATGCTGTTAACCATTTGTGCAGGGGAAAGACCTGCCCTGGTAACTGATAAGAACTTTTTATTTGCCTATCTCAGGCCAGGTGGGGCAGTCATGACACCTGCAGAGCGATGTAGTAGAAATTGGGTTTTTCTCCCTTCAGGGCACTAATGTCATGTGGCTGGGTGACATTCATCTTAGTGAACCATTTGCAGCCTGAGAAGGGGAGTTAAGTGGAGATGGGAAGTGGGGGGCAGGGGTGCTAAATTCTAGTGTACTTTGCTGGCTTTTGCTTTATGCTAGTCACTGTTTCCAGAACTATCTTGAGCACAAGAGTGACCAGGCTCCATGGACGTCAGCCAGGGTGTAGCTCTGCGTAGTCTGCAGTGGTTTGCAGCCAGGGAGGAGAGTGGGAAGCTAGAGAGGAAGAAATCAGCAGCCAGACCTCATTGCCAGGTTGCATGTTCCCTGTGGACGACTTATGGTTAGTGTTAAGACTGAAGGTAAATGGGGTTGGTGTGTGGCACACCAGTGAAGTTGCCATTTGGGATGCCTGCTTCCTAAATCAGAGTGTCTGGTTAGAGTCTCAGCAGTGTGCTTCAGATGCAGCTTCTGGCTGAGGCATGCCCTGGGAGGCAGTAGGTGATGGCTCAGGGACTTGAGTTCCCTGCCACTCACATGGGAGATCTGGGTTACGTTCTAGGATCCTGGCTTCAACATGACCCAGCCCTGGCTATTGTAGGCATTTAGGGAGTGAATTAGTGAATTCAAGATCTGTTTCTCTGTTTTTCTCTCTCTCTTTCCTCCCACTCTTGTTTCTCTGCCTTTCAAATAAAAATGAATTTTTTTTTTTAAATTGAAGAATTAGGGACTGGTTTGATGGCTCAGTCTACTTGCAAGTGCTAGTGAACCATATGGGCACTGGTTCGTGTCCCAGCTACTCCACTTCCCATCCAGCTCTCTACTTATGGCATGGGAAAGCAGTGGAGGATGGCCCAAGTAATTGGAACTCTGGATCTACATGGGAGATCCAGAGGAGACTCCTGACTCTTGGTTTCAAATTGGCTCAGCTCTAGCCGTTGTGGCCATTTGGGAAGTGAACCAATAGATGGAGGATCTTTGTTTTTCCTTCTCTTTATAAATCTTCCTTTCCAATAAAAAAGAAACCTTAAAATTTTTGAGAATTAACATTTAATAGCATAAAGGGATTTTATTTATAGCCCTCAGCATCCTTCTTCCCCTTCCTTGTCTCATGATCCATGAAGCTCACATTTGCCTTTGCCTCCCTTTGCAGGTGTGTCATTTCTCCAGGTACTTCATGGTATCCTCCCCTGCGCTCTCCACGCCTCTGCTCCACACAGCTCCTGAGACATGGGAGAGAACGAGGACGAGAAGCAGGCCCAGGCTGGGCAGATCTTTGAGAACTTTGTCCAGGCTTCCACATGCAAAGGTACCCTGCAGGCCTTCAACATCCTCGTACGTCAGCTGGACCTGGATCCTCTGGATCATAGAAACTTCTATTCGAAACTCAAGTCCAAGGTGACCACCTGGAAGGCCAAAGCCCTGTGGTACAAACTGGACAAGCGGGGCTCCCACAAAGAATATAAACGAGGAAAGTCATGCATGAACACCAAGGTAAGGGGTGACCTTGCATGGGTGCTTGTTGTCTGTGCAGGGTGCATAGGTTGGCCTTGAGAGGTCAGGGGGTCATTCCTCTTCTTCCACCCTAGGACCTTAATGGCTGTGAGGGTGATGGTTGGATTGATTTTGTTCAGCTGAGGGGTCCTTTGCTTACGAACACTCAGCTTTTCCTGTGTCGGAGTTTGCACTTTACCCTGGTGGCCTCAACATCCCTTCTTGTGCCCTCACCAAGGGAAGGGAACCAAAGCCAAGGTGGAGAGAGGACCTCACAGAGGCTTAAGCTCCTTCTCCTCTTCCTACCAGTAGGACTTGCAGCCCCTGCAGTTCATTGAGCAACTGAACTGTCAAGCTGGGCGCTTCACATCTGTGATCTCACTGCACACCTTCAGTAGACCTTTGACCTGTATTAGAGATACAGAAACCAAAAACATTCAATGATCTTGCTCAAGGGCATATAACTGAAAGGCCACCTTGGTTTGTCCAATTCCAGAATGTTAGCACCAAATCCCACGGAGGAGCGTAATTAAGGTAGTGTTCCCTTTGGAGCAAGCATTTTTAAAAGATCTCTGGTTTGTAATTAATGGGTAAGGAACAGGTGTTTTGTCCTCACTGCCTTTTCCTCCCTCTCATTCTCCTGTCCTCTGCCCCAACCTGTTCTTTGCCTGGATCATATCTGTGCTCAGGATCCCACTGGAAGATAACCTTCTGCAAACTGTTCAAACTTTCCATCTTGGAAAGGGTTGGGGAACTGGGGCTGAAAAGAGTATAAACAGGTTCAATGTCCCTAAAGTATGCCACACCATGTGGGGTAGCCAAAAGTCAAGATTTCTCCACTGGCCTTTGGGAGCTGTCAGCCCCGGCCGCTGCTGCAGGCTGTGTGTTTAGGTTAAAATCCCATGCACTGCATTTAGACCTCACAAGAGGTAGCTCAGTCAGAGCCCTTGGAATTCCAGTCAGTGCCAATCCCAGGACAAGGGGATTGAACTCTCCATGGCAATGGGGACTGTTGTGCATTTGTTTTGGTGATGGGGAGCTGGTGTGTTTGCCCTGAGATACGGCTGCTTTCCACCATCCTGAGGGAGGCAACTGCCAATCCCCTGGGAGCCTGGGGTGTGCTGAGACTGGATGCCGCATGGGAGTGCATTCCATCAGTCGGAAACAAGCAATCACTTCAGTCCAGAACACAGTATCCATCAAGGCACCGCTGCCCAGAATCTGCCATGCTCCCACAGTATTTGTTAAGGCACCTCTGCCCAGAACCTGCTATGCTCTGGCCTTAAGCAGAGAAGATGAAGGACTAGGAGAAAAGGAGGCAGAACAAAGCTGGGAACTAAAGTCCCGGGTGACACTCCTGCCCTGTGTCTCCCTTCCTAGTTATTTGAATTTCATGGTCGTGGTTCTATGGGTAACTTGTTAGAGGAAGGAGAAACTTCCAGTTTTCAAGACATCGCCCTTCTCAGTAACCATATGTGGTTTTGAAATTTCCAATGGAAACTAGGTGGCCCTGCTGCTGTGTAGGTTCTCACAGTCTTTTCAGAGTTCCTGTTTGTCTAGGCAATGGCTATGCTCCATACACCCCCAGTGCAGTGTGGCCGTTGAGGAACTGTCTTGGTGTTCTGGAGACCCTCAAAGTCAACTGGCAGAGAGTGGGCTGGAAGGTTGGCAGGGGCAAGGTGCCCTTATTTCAAAATTCACTGCCTGATTGGTTGCCTCACCTGTGGAGCCAGCCCTCGTGCCAGCTTGGATGGCTCCACTTCAAAAGCTTCGTGTGATCAGTGGGTCACCAATGGCACTTGCTACAAAGGAAAAGTTAGTAATGCTTACTGGGCATTTTGAAATCTTTCTTACAAAGACAGTTCAAAGTATGACAGCCCATGTCATCCAAGCCAGCTGGCCACTGGGATGGTGGAGACAAGTGGTCTGGAAGCATGGATTAAGACTGAACAGCTGAACATAGCAGAGGTGCAGCTCAGATCCATTCATTAAACTCATCAGCTTGCAAGAGCCAGAAGGCACAGGCACCTGGGGGCTAGCCGTTCCATCTCCTCTTGGATCATTGGCCAGGAAATAATGGGAGGTCTGCATTCTTCCTTCCTGCACACAGACTTTTCTCTTCATCAACAAGTGGTTTCTACTTCCCATCTTTATAGCTTCAGGATCCAGTCAGGCCAGGATCATTCTCTCCCAGCTCAGCACTGCAAACACTCTCAGGAGAGGATTCTGATGAGCTGGCATCTGGGTTGATTATGGCAACTGTGATCCGGCAGCACTGTGGGGCCTTCCCTGATGGCATGGGGGAGGAGCAGGTCCCAGGAATGTGGTGGGGAAGGTGCATGCAGATTAGCCGAAGGTGTCCTCTATGGAAACTGTGTTCTGGTTGTGGTTTAGGCCCACCCTGTGTGGATGCCTGGTTCTAAGACACAGTGTTTGTGCTTCTTGTTCTTAGTGGTATAAAGCACAGAGCTGGGCTACTACTCGCTCTTCCAGTGTAAAGTCAGAGTCTATGGCTCAGACATTCAGGTATGTTTTGGTGCAGTAGTGTATGCTGAATATTAGCCAAACAGGAAATACAGGGCCCGAGCGGAGCTGTGGCTGCTCACCCATGTTAAACCAGAGAGTGCAGATGGGTCAGGGACCAGGCACCCATCCAAGCACCCAGGGATCTGCAGGTGAAACAGGAATCAGTGCAGTTCAACCAGAGTCCTGTCTTTCCACTGACGTGGACACATTTCAGAATCATCTGGAGCAGGCTGGGGTGTCAGCATTTCACAAGTAATCATCACCCCCACGTACCACTGGGGTCATGCCATCAGTGAGGGCCTGTGTGCACTGGTGCTGGTGGTGGGAGACTGGGGAAGAAAGGTTCTGGTAGATGGACCACAAAACAGAGAGACTGCCCTCCCCAGGTCTCCAGGGCAGATGTTAGTTGCATAATCCAACTTGGGATCCTTGTTTATTATTATTATTATTATTATTAATGAGGATTTTGTTGGGCCCTTTGTCGGGGCCCTTTGTCATTCTTTCCCCTGGAATGGCTTTGTTTGGATTAGAACGGGGTGAACCCTGGCTCTGGCCAATTAGCTCAGCATGGGCTGCTACTTCTGGATAACACCTGGCTCAAACGTCAGATGAGTGGCATCAGCAGAAGAGGCTTTCCAGAATGTGTAAGGCATGCTTTGGTGTGCTTGTTGCCATAATCACAGATCGTGGATCCTGGTCACTTTGCATAGAAACCTAAAATGTTAGAAGGGACTTGAGGGCACAGCCTCTGCATTTGATGGATGACAGGTGGGAGCTAAGGCTAGCGAGTGGCATTGCTGAGATCTGGCTTGCTTTTTGTTGTTTTGGTTCACTGACTTCGTAAAAGGTGTTTACAGTGCCTTATACCTTACAGGGCACTTGATAGGAAGTATGGTTCAAAGCATGAATGAATTCTCTCTTGACCTTTCCAGAAAGGAGGCAGAAGTAATGTAATTATTTCCACATTTAATCACTTAATCATTTATGGGATGAAAAATTATTGAGTAGCTACTTTGTGTGCCAAGCACTTGTTTAGGTATCAGCCATGTAATAGCTCTGTGGCTTTGGGCAAGTTACTCAACAACTCTGATCTTCAATAGCATTCTCAGTTACATGAGAATAATAATGGCACCCCCATTATGGAGTTTCTGTGGGGAGTAAATCAGGTCATCATTGTAAAGCATTTAGAGCTTTGCCTGTGCATAGTAAATAGTCACTCAGTATTTAGCCTTTAGTTGCATTAATGACCCACGTGTTTTGACAGAAGTGTGCATATTGGTATGTAGCAGTCTGGAAAAGCAAGTGACTATGTCTGGGGCCGTCTTGGAATGCCTCCTGGAAGAGGAGGTGTGAGGTCGAGTTTGGCGGGGGAGTAGGAGTTTGGTAGAGCTAAGGGAACTGCTGAAGAGAATACAGGCAGAGGGCTGCGTGATGGATGCAGTGTGTGCTGTTATGTGATGGAGAGGAAGGTGGTATGGGACTGGGAAGGAGTCATTGCCGGAGAGAGCTGTGTGCATGGATGGTAGGAGGACTCGAAGAAGAGAGGCCTCCAGGTGTCTGGCCGTAAAGAGCAGGTCCAGCCTGCAGAGCCTCTGACAGGGAGCTGCAGAGCCCCAGTCTGCTCCAGGGTTCTTTCTGCCCCCTGCTGGGAGATTGCTCAGAGATCACAGGTAAACAGGACTGCAGAGGGAGTGCTGCACGTTAGGGCCATAAAAGTGAACTTGGAGGAAGTGACTCACAGACTCTTGTCCCCACTAGAGTAGGAGTGGCCCATATAATAAAAACTCCTGTGCCATCTCTGTAGAAGGATATGTCTGAATATGGCAGTTCCCAGCAGGGTTACTCCTCCTTGTCCCCGAACATGACTCTTGTCCTTCTTTACCTCTGTAGTACCTCCCCACTGTGCAGCCCAGACCCAGGCTTATCCTCAGAGTTGCCCTGTCACGTGGTCACTGCCCTGCCTCAGCAAAGCATGGCAGGGTAGACGGGAGTGAGGAGGTGAGTGTGTGAGAGGTGGACAGGGTGAAGTGGGGGTAGAGGGTTGCTATCTCTTGGCCTGGATAAGCCCATCTGGCATTCCTGACCTCTGAAGTCAGCAACTGAGACTCTGCTGGCATCGGTATGTGCGGTACCACTTCGCCTAATATGGACAGGTGCACTGAGGACAGATAGCATGGAGGTTGGTCCCCAGGGTGCAGATGTCTGAGCTGGTGGAACAGAACTGCAACAGACTTCACCTTTGTTCACTTTACCTGGCAATGGACTGCTGGCACTGTTACTCTCAATAGCAACTGGCTTGTTTTAGTGGCCACACTTGTCATCACGGCACCATGGGGACAGCACGTATGCAGGCTTGGCCTGAGTATGTGCCATGGGCAATACCCATGAGTCTCTGTGAACCCCATTGTCCATAATATTGTATTAAGAAGAAAGAACCCTCTTGTTTGGCTACCTTCATGAGAAGCAGTTAATCC